GAGCGAAAGAAAGCGCGCACGCGGAAGCGAGAGATTATTCGAATGTGTTTATAGAATTTTAGAGACAAGGTAGAACTACTTATTTGATAATAAATATGATACAAGATAGAGTACGTTATTAGAAATTTCATAGTGTACAGAGGGTTTTTCGAGAATATATATTGTATTTTTATACGTTGAGAAGAAAACAAACATACACATGAAGTTGATAAACGCAGAAAGTGCCATTCCGTCGTTTCGAACCAAAATTTTTCTGCTTATTTTATTCTCTCCCTTGCTGATTGTGATATTAGGTTATACGCGACAATTTTTGTCATCATGTGTAAAACATATTTCAAATGTATGCGTGCATATACATATATATACATATGTATAGTATGCATCCTTTTATATGTATACGTACGTATATCAACGATGATACGATGTTTTAACTTACAGACTATTTTGTGATTTTTTTTTTTTGTTAAACATATTAAATTAGTATCACATTAGTATTAGTGTAAATATAGATAAATACATTTTAGAATGGACGTTTTTGTTAATCATTATAATAGATTATTTTCAAATCTTTGCTGATCTATCGAAGTCTCTCGAGTTGTTTAAAATCATCAATCAAAAAAATTTTTTAAAAGAAAAATATTTACAGATGCGATTCACAGAGCAAGCGAATCTATGACGTGAAATCTATGGCAATGTTAATTTTATTAGCACGGTATAATGATCTCGATAATTCATTTGGATAAAGAAATCTTGCGTTTAAATCATTTTTCAAAAAAAAAAAACAAAAAAAGAGAGAGAAGGAAGAGAGCAGACTGTCATTCCAGTCCCACTTGCTTGGGCCAGTTAAAACAAGTAAGCAAGTTCTTTTATCTAAAGTGATGTGCGTTTTTATTTCGATTGTTACTTAAAAAAAAAAGAGAGAAAAATTCTATAATTCATTTGTGACAAAAAATGTATTATTGACAATTGAGTATATGTACACATCTCTTAAACATGAGCGAGATTTTTCAACAATGCGATATTTCTCAATAGTTTTAAGATATGAAAGAAAGAATTATATTTTAATTTTTCACCTTCTCGCACATGCATCGAGACCAAATGAGAGAGGAGAAAGGTGAACGGAAGAAACGGCACAACTTGGGGGGAAAAAAAAAGAAAATGACCATCGTTAAGTCGCTATTGTCAATCAAACTTTGAAGTCTATCAATAAAAGATTAAACGACTGGCAGGAACCGAACTAGCGCAGGCGAGACGGATATTTTCAAAAAGAAGGATCATTAAAACTTCATTCTTTATAGTTGTAAAATGAGGAAAGAAGGAATTAGATGTTCTTCGAAAATTGAAGAATTGAAAAATTGACATATTGTCGCGTACGACGCGACGATGAAGGTAAATTCCTTCATCGTCGCTCGTCAAATAAGGATAATTCTGCATCGTTCTGTCGCATTTTTACGGCAGATTGCGCCGTGCAAGCCTCTTTCCTTTCCATGAGAAGAAAGGGAAATCGCACGCAATGGACAGAGAAATTTTCCGTGACCGCTCCTTGACTCGATCCACACTCGTTCGTCAACTTGGCAATATAGATATCGCATATGTATATTGTCATAATTTTATCCCAAAACTTTGGCCCCTCTCCTTGCCCTGCCTGCGCAATTTTTGTGATATTACTGTTTTTTATAATTACTTAAGAGCTTGGAGAGAGAGAGAGAGAGAGAGAGAGAGAGAGAGAGAGAGAGAGAGAGAGAGAGAGAGAGAGAGAAAATGTTAACAGAATCCGGGCCACATGAGTCGCTCGACGTGGGGTTTAAACGAAAATTCACAGCCACGTATTTTTAATCCTTTTCTTATCGCGTATACATGTATATGTACGTATGTGTAAATAATGCATATAAAAATCGACGTTGTTATCACTTCTCGCCGAGTTACATTTAAGAATTCAATAGTGGCTAACGAGACGATTTTTTACACACAAGTTACATTGTTCACTCCTCGATAGTTCCTAAGCTAGAACGGCCGATTTCGGTGATAAAAGATAAATGTCCGCTACCGCCCATTACGGATCCACTGAAATTTCGCATCGCAATGGAATCTAGAGTATATTATCTAGAGTATATACGCGTGTCCTCCTGTGGTTGTAAATACGTTGTCTCCTTTTTAACTTGGTATAGTTTCGAGTACACTCGCGGCTGATACATTCATATCGATACGTTCCCATCTCTCGTCGAGAGATCATGTGGCTCGCGATTACATATTATACACTCGAAAAGCTCCCACAGTCACGATAAGATCGAAATAATAAATTTATAAACAATTATAAAGTAACAGTGAGACGTCTATTTATACATAATTATTATATTAAATATTACAATGATAGAGGACTGAAAAAAAGTGATTAATGCCGATTGATATCTGAAATTTCCAATCTTTTCTATCGTCAGTGAACAAAATTGAGTGCAAAGACGTATGTGTGGGGTACATGTAGTAACAAAGGGTAATCGCAGGCAAAGAAAACAGTAGGGAAAAAAGCAAAAAAAAAAAGGGAGAATTTATGAGTAAATTAGAACAAAGAGTAATAAGCGATATGAATCGAAACTCGATAAACTCACAAGTAAATATATTGTTGTATCTTTATTGTTGTTGTTGCATGAGACTAGCTTAATAGACTGAGCCATACACATGGTTAAATAACTATTAACATAATTCTTAATACTATAATTATTGTAATTAATATATATATCTATATATACGGTGTGTATTATATAATTTAATCGTAATGAATCCTCGTGTGGGCAGCGTTCGGAGCGGAGATTCCCGTCCTTTGGGACTACCAATCATTACTCCTAACAATCATTACACCGTAGCTGTTTCGGTCTTAGGTGGTCGTAATGCTTTTTATTAAGTAGCCAAGATATCTTCGATATATTTAGGATGTATATTAGTATACTTAAGTATGCTCAGAGACACGTGTGTCCGCGGACATCCTCCTCGTAAAACATAATAATCGGGGTACAGACACCGAGCAATGCGAGATTATTAATATGACTTAGACTTAGACTTTACAATCATTATTATCGCACTTGGTATTGTGAAAGAAATTCTATATTATAGATGTGTATAGTTATATACATATTCGCTCATTTCGAGAAACATGCGATGAATTGAAACGAGATTTCTGCGGAAGAAAAAAAAAAGATCTTTCCAACAGAGATTCTCGATATCAAATGTCGATCGCGTCCTTTCCTTTCTCAAAGGACCGGGACTCTGTATGGGGCTGTTCCTAGTACCTGATTATCCTATCCTTGCGGCCACGGAAGGGACGGTTCTGCCAAAATGCAGGTCGATCTGCCGTAGTTTGTTTTTATTTTGCTGTTTTCTCTCGCAAGCGCCGGCGAATTCCTCTGTCCAGTGTCTATCACTCGATAATAGATTATACATACACGGTGTTCTTTTTTATTGTTGCATATTACCTTGACTGCCTAGTACTTAAGGATAATCTCTCCTAGTGCTCAGTAGTAACGTCGCATGTAAGTTTCGCACGGAAAAGAACACGAGACTACATTTTTCTGCTTTCCTACACAGTGATACATTTACGCCTGTCAAGGTGCAACGAAAGGGTGCTGCCCATCTCGGAAGAGCGATAAAAACAATTTCGTACATGTACTTTATATAACTCTTGACTTAAAAACATAAAGTGTGTGTGATAGACGGATTAGCTGCGAATAAGATGTACCAGAACGGTCCTTGATTCTTGAAAAATTGTAATTTTAATTTGTTTCTTTCCAAACAATTAAAATTACAAATCATACACGAAAATTCTGCGAATTAAAATTAAATGACCAAATAATTTTTGTTACAAAGAAGGACTGAATCAAAACATAAAAATTCTTGGAAAAGAAAAAAGATTATATTTTTAAAACTTAGCTGGAAATATCTTATGCGTAATTAATCGAACATCACATTCGTTTTAAATCGACATGGCAATCGCACTGTAAATTCATCATCTAAGGATGAATGTATACATTCAATAATTGTATTTTATAGCCTCGGCAATTTTTCATCTAATTACGAATAATTTTTCTCTTCGAGTGCGAACTTGTTGTAATCGAGCCGGACGACTTTACACTTTATAAAGCGTCACATAAGCGCGTGCAAGTATTCAATTCGAGTATCGTGAATCTATCTACTCGGACGATAGACCATTGACGAGGAGCAAAGGTTGTAGAAGTAAGATTCAATCGCTTGTTATAACGTGTTTACGCGAACACTTCAATGCTTCCTGCCGAGCTTCTTCCGTTAATTGTCTGAGTCGCTGTTGCGACATAATATACATATGCACGCGTTTAAATCATAGTTCATATCCGGGATTGAAACCGGTAGAACTTCGCTGACCTTAGATTTCCATGCTATAGATGCGCGAAACTGATCTCCGTGGATTTAATGGACAATGATGTGAGTCAATTTTTTGAAAATACTTAATGTAAAATCTCTCTCTCTCTAGCTAATTTAGGATTGTAAGTAATTATGTATAGTAATATTGCAAATCGTAGTAATATTAATAAGGATATTGTAATATTAGTAAAGTAAACTAGATTGTTATAGAGTGAAAGTTATGTTTCTGCAA